GTCCCTTAACGGACTAGAAGGAACAGACATCTTCTACCAACCCCCAGAAAAAATCTCCTTTTTTTGTCAAATTAAGAAAACTTGGTCTCTCACTGACTAACGCTACGCCCTTAGTTTGTAGCGCTGGAAGGATTTAAGATGACAAGCAAGTTCAAGAGCCTAGCAAAGCCGGAAATAACTCATAAAGTAGAGGATGTCCAGGTGACGATAATTTTCAGTTTTTTAAACCCGCTCGCACTCTTTGCAAAAAATAAATCATTAGGCAAACAAAGAGAACTCGAAATTTAATGTCACATACAAATTCAGCGACAAATCTCTTTAATAAAAAATTTCTGTACTATTTCAATATTTTAACTGCCAAACTCGTCAACCTTCAGTCGCTCATCTAGATCTTCGGTGAAATAGGAACCGACCGCGAGCGATTTACGGTCGAAGCCACTGAAAAAGAAAAAAAAAATAACCTTTTTTGCCCAATACGCTAAAAGCTACCTCAGAAGATAATTTCGCAGTATAGAAGCACAGAAATTGAAAAGCAGTTGCCAAACGCCCTCTTTCCGAAGAAATACACAAAAATAATAATAAATCGAGGCCAGAAAGCACTAATTCACATCTTAAACAAGTAGTTTCCACCAAATCGCTGTTAGCTTAACCCATTCAGGCAAGTAGCGAGAAGAAAAACAGCTTGGAACACTTTTCGCTAATGCATCCATTAGCGTTTAAAAATATCCATTTCAGCTACGTAATTGTACGGAAGTATAACTGTACCGTTTGAGAAATCCTCACCAGATGTTCCGCTGTTCAAGCGCTACCATAAAACGAATATACTGGCAAATTAGCAAAACTAGCATTACTTTACTGCGCTCTCCCAAACCTTTCTTTTTCCTCTCTCTATTTATATTCTTCATCTTTTAAAGATACTATATTCTACACTCGCAATCATGTTTGAGACTGAAAAAAGATTTGTCTACCTTTTTGCGCATTCCTTTGCAATTCTTAAAACTGACATTCCACTCTGCAATCCCATTGCACTAAACCGAAAACGAACTACGTAAAAAGTGAAAAAAATTAGCTTTCAAGAAGAACCGTCAAAAAACAGGAGAAAATTTTGAATGGACAGTAAGCGTACCTGTGAAAGAATTAGACAAAAGACAAAGACAGAAAGACAAAGTTTTAGAAAAACGATTTCACGTAATCGGTTACCAGCATGACGCAAAAAAAAAAACCAAATCTGCACCATCTGCCCTTGTTGTCCGAAACGAATTCTGTAACTAAACTAATCAGAGTGTTCCTTCCAAGATTGAAGTGGATTTTGCAGCGTCACACCTGGTGCTGAAAGGGCAGACATCTATAAGCAAATATTATAATGAAACAGCAGGCCAAACTCTTTAATTACGAAGAAACAGAAGCAACGATAATCATTTATACAAGTGTTAGCCCCTTTCAACAAACGTGCTCTCGTGAATATTTGGAAAGCAAAGCCTCATTTACTGTAGGTTCATTTACCTCATGTGAATAGAGTAATAAAATACTATTATTTGAGAGAATACAACTACAAATTTTGTAATATTAAAAACCATAAAGTGCCAAAAAAACTGCAACTGATAAGTGATACTGATCCAAAGAATTACCTTTGTGCGTCACATTAACCAACAAAGTGATGCTGTTCTAAAATGCTATCCCATACTGGAACGTGTCTCACCCTTGGACAGCATTCATTAGAGCGAAAAAAACCCAAGTGCTTCGAAATAATGACCATTTTTTGCTTAGAGCAGAAAGACAAACGCCAATCCTTACGTGTTTTATAAATTATGATTTTCACAAGTATAACAAACCAACATTAAAAAGTTACAAAATAAACGCTGTAAAAGCCCGATATTTCTCAGGCGCTCATCCTGCAGGTAACCAATCGAACGAACTACTACAAACTTCTCAAAACCACCTCAGAAACTTGTTTAAAACCAAACGTTTCCGACTTCTGTAACACAAAAATGAAAAGCTCCAGTGTATGTCTGGTAAACTCAAGTGATTTCTTGAAATCAACAGAAATCCACGTGTTACTGCGTCAGATGATCTCCAAATGAAGTTAACAGATCTCAGAACGTAATAACGTTCAGAATGTTTTAGACTATTGCTCTACAGTTTACTACGTGCCAATAAAATTGGATACAGATGTCCCACTAAGTGTTTTGTCCAGAACAGAGTCAACCACGTTAGGAAACTGAGGACCGTTTTATCAAACTCCTTCCGCAGCATCTCATACAGACAACTCTACAACATACCCAAAACTTCTGCAAAGACAATCATCTTCCCCAAACCAAATATTTCTTAATAAATCAACTTCTCTTGCGATACTCCGGATACTTCTTGTCAGCAACTCCAGGTTTCTACAGCATCTTTAAGCCTCACTTTACACAATTAGAGGTGGTACACATCGACAACTAACAACGTTGAACA